AAATGATTCATTTATTCACTCTCCTGGTCCCAGAGTAGCACAAGTGGTGCCCTACACTCCTGAGTAGTAGAAGTCTCTTTCCGATATCAGAGTATTACAAACAATTCATTTATTCGTTCTGCTAATCCAAAAATGGTACAAACAATGAGTAATAATAAAGTGATGCCTTTATTCATTCTCTTAGCACTATATTAGTCTAAGTGATGCATGTTATAACTTCTCTGGACCCGGAGTAGTATAAGAGGTGCCTTTATTCACTCTCCTGACCCAGGAGTAGTACAAGTGATTCCTTTAAATCTCCCAATCCGGGGTAGTAATTGTAGTTCATTATTCAATTCTAAAAGTAGTACTTGCTATGTAATTCTCTCTTCTGCTCCTAGAGTTGTACAAGTAATGCCCTTCACTCTCCCGATTCTAGAGTAGCCCAAGGGAGACCTGAATTAACTTTTCTGATTCTTGAGTATTTTTTTTTAATTTATTTTTTGAGTTGTTTCTCTCTCTACTCATCATTACTTTTCGCATGGTAAACTTGATTCGAGTATGTATTAAACTAATCGCTTCTATTCATTAATTAATGATTCTTAGTTTGAGCACGATGGACGTGTTGTTAGTTGTCAATGCCATAGCATTCTCGCACGTCGCTCTTCAACCCGCCAAATTCTCGGTCCCCGGCATTTCAGAATAGTTTGTACATGCCCTTTTAAGGCATAACAATAATCATCTTTTAGTGATGACTAATTAATGACAAGTCTATTTGAGAACTCAATATTTTGATTTCCTAACGTAACGTCTATAACACAGTGTTAAATAGTGTGCATGCATAACATTTTAATAATACGACAATTGTAGCAGAAGTTCATAAACATATATAAATAAATTAAATAAGTTATGAACTTTAATTTACTCCCTAGATATTGAGAATGTCTCTGACTGCAATATCTTCCTATGCATTGTAGTATGATGTATATTAAGTATGTAGTTGCGTCAGTTTCCTATGTGTGGTCTATAACAAGTCACGTGGTATTGTAATGGCTTACTAATGTCGATTACACACAAAAACATTAAACACTTTTCAGGTTATAATTTTATGAGTGCGCCGCCAGGAAGATGTTTGTAAAATCTTTTTTTCTTGGCAATTTCCCAACATGCTTTGATGCCAAGTGGAGATGCATAAAGGAAACAAAACGAACTGTGTATGAATATCCGAATGTTTTCAGGCTGTTGTTCCTCTAACACGACTCCTGTCTGAGCGCCCTCTTGCGTTTCAAAGGCAAAATTGCCTAAATGAAAAGCGCCACCACTTGCTGAAGTTTGGTTAATGCACTTCGAGCCCAAAGATGATAACGCGATTGTGGATAAGACAACAACCATTGTTTGTGAATTTGTAAATAAGATAAAAACAGAAACGTACACGGTGATGTTATCGATTAACGAAACAAATCACGGGTGACGTTCTCAAAATGCCACTCGGCGTTCAACACTGAGAATTTCGATTTTCTGAATATCGAGATAACAGTTCAGTTTATGCAAGTCGGTCTCAAATTGGACGCGGATTGTTATTGCGGACAGAGGTAAGCATGTAAACTAACACTAGCTAGCATATGACGGTTTTAATTATATAAAGTACATGATATACCTGGTGTTGTGATGTGTATATATGAGAACCTGTAATGGCTGAAAAGAACTGTTTTTTTGCAAGAGATACAAGTGTATTTAAGCTATTCACGAAATCGTTTTACACCTGTACTCAAAAGGTGATTTTTCGAACAATTGCGAGATCTCGCGAGATGCATGAACGACGCGCGTCGAACGTCTGCCGCAAAAAATCGAACGATTTGATTTTGAACTAGAATTTCTTTATTTCGCAGCTTACATTGACCGGCCGATCTTCGACAAAGGAATTTTGCTTCCGAATACCCTTACTTAATCGAAATTGCCTATCATCAAATGTGGACAGCACATTATTAAGCATGGAAATGTTCCCCAAAATACTTCGCTTTTGACGAATCCCACGCGATGTTTGACGCGACTACGACGCTATGACCTTTGTTTGTCCTGTTTTTACGTTCTATTTCACGCATAACGCGTGATTCTCGCAGTGAACGGAAAATGGTCTATTTGATAAGAGCAGCCCCTTACATGATATTAAATTTCGTCATTCCTACTTGCGATAGAGTGTGGACTTTAACACGTATTTTTTTTTGTCAGACGCGATATAAAGGCCGATATAAAATAGCATAAGAGGTGAAGAAAAAATGGAACAGACAAGCGAACACGTGTCAAAGGTATAAGTCTGATATACATTGATATGACATTATGTTTTTTCCCCGCTCTGTTGTCATCAGATTTGATGCAAATATTGACATATGCCGCAGACTGGATGACATTTACTTTGACATTTATCTCTTCGATTAAATAAATAAAAGGGTTGATTATTTTCATATCTTACACAGAATGTAGCGACCTCTTTCAATGAACTATAAGTGAGTTTCTGTGTCACGATACATCATGAATATTTGTTCCCGTTTTAGTTGTAATATGTTCCTTCACATAGTCCATTCAAGTATATATTTGCCACCACAACATGTTTTTAAAAGCGATTGTTCGATTTGAAGAACATAAAAGAATAACGCCAGTTAAAATAAACTACGAACGAGCCTGTTATATGACGCAATTTATGTCACGCTGGCACGAAACAAGAATTAAATAACGTTACGTCATTCACTCAAATTCACAGAAACTGTTCAAAGCAGCACAAAAAGGCAGTATCTGTGACGTGAAACAACACCTTAAAGATCCCGGATGTGACCCCAACGCGCTCTTTCAATTAAAGTATTCTAATACGGAGAAAGTGAGTATACATGTTTTACACACTGGGTTTAGTGGACTCAATATGTCAAACCTTTTCAATAAACCACAGCTTGTTAACAAAAACACCGATACAAAATATGTGTAATTAGATGCAAATACAAAATAAAATATTTCTCAAATTGTTTGTCATATTTTTTTTATATTTTAAAGCGGGAGAGTCGTCACCTGCGCATGCGTCAGATTGCCATAGTGTGTCATTGCTTACAAACAAGCGTGTACCAATGAGCCTTTGCGTTTTTAGCGTGTGTTGTTATCGTCGTTTGGGACTCAATTCCTGCGCGTGCGCAGGTGATGATCCTCCCGCTTTAACATTTGACATTTACGATAAATAAAACAATCATAATCAAAGGCCAAACTATCGAAATAATTATGGAAATTATAAGTATACACATTATGACCTAATAATCCCTTTTTTCATTTTCATCCAACGAGTCGCATCAAGTCGATTTCTTAGTTTTCTGTGTCATTGATAGGTTCCGTAATTTCCGTAGGTTGATGGATGGCGCCCTCTGCAGGTAGCTGCTAACAATGGACACAGTGAAATTGTTCAGATACTCTTGGACAACGGCGCAGGCGTGAACATGCCGTCTCCCAGTAATTATACAAAAGCTAATTGCGCGAATAAAAAAATTGTTAATGGGTCAATGATGAAATGAGATATGATGTCATTAATTTTCAAACTCATAGTTCTGCAATAAAATTGCATTTGACTAGACCAATGTTACATCTCTTATGTTAGCTCTAATTGTCAATGAAACTTTTTGCTCTTCCTCGATATATGTGAACATACTCTTGTTTTCCTTGAAAATCTATGTTTTTGCTTTTTCTTACATTTAAAATTTATATACGCTAACTAGATAACAGTTGCAGACTAGGTAAACAAATTTGTCCTGCTTTGTTAGTTTTTGTTTCATGTGGCTTTAATATTTTACTTGAAAATTAAAGATAGGTCTAAAACCATAATGTACATCTTAAAGTAGATACCTGGGAACATATTGAAAAATTGACACTTCAATCCATCGAAAGTAAAACTAACGCAATCGCTGTTTAGTGTCACGGTGAAAACGTAGTTTGTTCACTCCAAATTCGAACGCAATCGTTCACAACATCCATTGCCTTTACTAGTTGTTTTGAGATATTATATTTTTTTTGTTTTTCCTGTGGTATGTTGCTTCGATAGGTCGGATCGACTCCTCTGCACCAGGCATCGGCACGTGGCCATGTTGACACGATTGATATTTTGGTGAAAAGTGGAGCGAATCTGGAAAGAAAAAACACTACGGTAAATCAAATTAATTTGACTCATTTCAATGAATGCGACCACACTTCACTCCATTTCACACATGTGCTATGTATGTTACAAACCTTCATCAGAAAACGATTTTATTTTCTAGCGAAACCTAAATGTTTTCGACTCACCATTTTACACGTTAGGTCTTATAGTCCAATGTATTCTTAAAACGTTCTGTGCAATATTTTGCTACACGTAGCGCATCCAGCGACAACGCTTTTTTATGATGTAATTAGACGCAAGAGGTGCGCTGTACATCGTGGTAGTTCGTCAATAAAATACTGTTTACCATAATTAAATGTCGTAGTTTTGAACCAATCTACAGCATAATGTCACGATCGCAATCCAAAAGAATGTATGATATAAAGTGACATATCGCGGTATTAAGCTTTAAAAACATGAACATTGCATTATTGTGTGTAGATGTAAAACGTTGACAATTTACACGTATCACATACATTATGTTATTGTATATAGTTTATATACTAATATATCGTCACTCTTCTCAGTCTGGGGCTACACCTTTACACGTTGCCGCCATGTTTGGTAGTAACTCGGCGATATGCAAACTCACTAAAGCAGGTGCCGATATACATGCAAAGACAACCCAGGTACATACATTATATGTTGAAACGTATTTTTACAGACAATTTATCATCTTAACATGTCTATTTTATCAATATGTTCAGCGGCAATAGCAGTAACTATCGAACTTTTCCTCAGAATTGTTATAATAAAACATTTCTTGTGTCATCAGTACCAATATTAATATGTAATGGCCATACATAGCATACTAGTAGTCGATCAGGTCTCCGGAAGGCGCCATCTATTTAAAATCCAGTTTTGTCAAGCGAACCACTGGGATTACGGTACAAGATGACAACTTACCGGGGTCCTTGGAGAAATGTCAAATGCGGCACCAATTTGAGAAGTTTTGTCTATACGTATATCTTATTTGATAGTCAATCTAATTCTGAATCACAATCTGTGTTTAATCGTGTATACCATGCCATAACCAGGTTATAGCATGTACAGTGAAACAACAATGATTGAAGCAGGCCCCGACTTTTGCTTTTTATACCTTGTTTTTTTTTTCCTTAGCATGGAGCCACACCATTGCACATCGCATGTGCTTACGGACAATACGAAGCAGCAAGAACCTTACTTCAGCATGGAGCACGTGTTGGTGCAAAAAACAATGTAAGTAATTTTTTTTCACTAAGGATGACCAGAATGCTGCTGGTTCTCGTGATTATTATGAACTGGATATTTTATTATGTATAAATATATGAGATTGTCGACTTCGGTGTATTGTACAACTTTAAAGAGCGGTAGTCGTCGCGCTGCGCATGAGCGAGATATATGGGTTTCATATAAACAAAGATGGCGACTTTCACTGTTGCGCAGATCAACGAACACAAACTGAGACGTTTCCAAGCTTTAATTAGGTAATTTTCATGTTATTCGAAGGCATCAAGGAGTCACCGGCGGTAATCAGTGCAAGTCGCGCCCAGGTCAAACCTCATACTTGTAATTTCCATTTGAAGAGCGCATTGGATTGTGGGAAAATCAATGTTTATCAACACAAATGCCGCACATGCGCA